TAAATATTTACTTATAGTTTAAATCTTCCATGTAAACTTACCAAACAAAAACTGTTATATCGCCGAAAAAGCAGGATCAGTGGCAGCGAACCACAGACGGAGTTGCAGCGACAGGAAGCACTTACCAAAACAACTATAAGTCCTTGGGGAAATCTCTAAAGCGATGTTTTTTGCCGAATTAATGTTGAAATTTCTAATTTAATTTTCAGTTGCCAACGAATAAGAATAGAGTAAATGTCAAAGAATTGTTCAGTGATTGCAAATCAGTTTTGGAATAGGCAATTAGGTAGTTTAGTACTTTTTAAAGGCGGTAAAATGTAGTTTTTTTAAGAGGGAAACATCGATTTAGCTAAGGGAGCCAAGATGGCGGATTAGAGCGAGAACGCTGTCAATATCCAATACCTTGTATTATTCAACCATGATGGAAAACATAATTAATTTCTTTCTAGTAATAGATGTTTGGTTGCAAAAGTTACCAAAATGAAATAAATGTTACCAAATTACCAAACCGCTTAAAAGTTACCAATTTTGGTAGAAAGTTACCAATTGTGGCAACCATGTTTCCAATTAGCTTATGACATAACACCCGATTTACATGACTCAAGTACTTGAAAGCAATTCTCTTTTGTGTTTTCTATTTGCTTTTACACGTTTCAATTCTGTTGAATTCAAGTTTTTGGTTCTTTAAATGGGAAGCAACGAAAATGCCAAAAGCAAAGCAAGAAAGTTGAAACGACTTGACGGTAGAGACATCCGCGGATGCGAATGCGGTTCCGAATATCTAACAGCTAACATCCGCGGATGCGGATGCGAATGCAGATGTCAGGTATTTTTAAGAAACAATTAGAATCTAGCACAATGGCGAGATCGATGTTTAAACAGCGCTTACAAGCCAAACCAGATGTGTCAGGGTTTTCCAAAGCTTTTTAAAAATAATTCTTCATTCTCATTCCTTTGGCTGTTTCAAAATTTGGGGAATCTGTAACTTCATCAGCGTTTTTCGATTTTAGTTTTTGTTATTAATTTTTAATACTTTCTCTGCGACGGGTTTGAAAAATGTGTGCTTATAGCGTGCTAAATAGGTGGATATGGAAAATAAATTATTATTTTCCAGGAATGAAAATTTTGAACAAAATTCTGTTTTCAAAGTCGTGGCTGCCAGATGAATCGGATCAGAATATTGTTATTTAAAAAAAACACCCTGTTTTTATAAGCATTTGAATCTCAGATAGTTACGTAATTCTTATCTAATTAAAGGTCAGACCTATAGCTTTTTAATTATTTGAACATTGATTCTATTTATAGCCAGACGTTGATAATTTCCGCTGGAAATCCCTATTGAAGGAGCTTACTCTTTGACTTTAAATCGCAAAGAAGGGGCAGTTTTACCACAGAAGTTTTTAGCCAAGGATCCAATGTATATCCCTATAAGAAAGATAAGATAAAATATTGCTCAACAAGTTAACAAAATTACTGTTTTTAAAATTTTTGCTAAAAATAAATTCCCCAAAGAGCCCCATTTGAAATTATTGAAACGAATATATGTAACATAAAAGCAAATCACGAAAATTTGGTTAAGAATTACAGTGCACACTTTCTTCTTTTGTGTCCAGTAGTTTTTTAAGATTGGTCCAAAAAAATCTTAAAAAAGAAAGAAACCAACGCAGGTATTTAAAGCACAGAAAAAAAATATCATTAAAATGACTATGTTTTCTTTGACGTACGTCAAAGGTCAAGTAGAAGTGGGAACCCATTGAAAGCTCGGTTATATAACATAAGAAATAATAGTGGTAATCATGATACGTCGCAAAGTTGTTGCAAATGTCGCATTTGTCGGAAAATTTGCCACCTTGCGACACAGCTGATTACTTTTGTATGGAAACTTTCTTGCGACAAAATTGCGACATTGCCATAGTATTTGAGGTGGCAATCATTGCAAAGTCAAAGTTGCGAAACACATGTTTTTTTATTGTCTTCAAACACTTCAAAAAAAGTACATCAGTTAAATCTGCTTCAAAATATAATTGTAAAAATTTTTATTTTGNTAAATAGGTGGATATGGAAAATAAATTATTATTTTCCAGGAATGAAAATTTTGAACAAAATTCTGTTTTCAAAGTCGTGGCTGCCAGATGAATCGGATCAGAATATTGTTATTTAAAAAAAACACCCTGTTTTTATAAGCATTTGAATCTCAGATAGTTACGTAATTCTTATCTAATTAAAGGTCAGACCTATAGCTTTTTAATTATTTGAACATTGATTCTATTTATAGCCAGACGTTGATAATTTCCGCTGGAAATCCCTATTGAAGGAGCTTACTCTTTGACTTTAAATCGCAAAGAAGGGGCAGTTTTACCACAGAAGTTTTTAGCCAAGGATCCAATGTATATCCCTATAAGAAAGATAAGATAAAATATTGCTCAACAAGTTAACAAAATTACTGTTTTTAAAATTTTTGCTAAAAATAAATTCCCCAAAGAGCCCCATTTGAAATTATTGAAACGAATATATGTAACATAAAAGCAAATCACGAAAATTTGGTTAAGAATTACAGTGCACACTTTCTTCTTTTGTGTCCAGTAGTTTTTTAAGATTGGTCCAAAAAAATCTTAAAAAAGAAAGAAACCAACGCAGGTATTTAAAGCACAGAAAAAAAATATCATTAAAATGACTATGTTTTCTTTGACGTACGTCAAAGGTCAAGTAGAAGTGGGAACCCATTGAAAGCTCGGTTATATAACATAAGAAATAATAGTGGTAATCATGATACGTCGCAAAGTTGTTGCAAATGTCGCATTTGTCGGAAAATTTGCCACCTTGCGACACAGCTGATTACTTTTGTATGGAAACTTTCTTGCGACAAAATTGCGACATTGCCATAGTATTTGAGGTGGCAATCATTGCAAAGTCAAAGTTGCGAAACACATGTTTTTTTATTGTCTTCAAACACTTCAAAAAAAGTACATCAGTTAAATCTGCTTCAAAATATAATTGTAAAAATTTTTATTTTGCTCTAACGCGCGGCATTTTTAAAAAATTTTACATTTGCAATCCGGAGTTGCGATAGGTGGTTCATACAACTTTGTTCGCAAACTCCACTGCCACTTTGCGACGTCTTATGAATCGCACTAATATGTTTAAAGATATTTTTATTAAAGGTGATAAATATGACATTTGATCACTTTTGTTACACAAATACTCCCACGACCACAGGCAAAAATATTGGCTACAATATGTAATTTTTTTTTTGCCATATATACGTTTTATCGGTCCACTTGCAAAATATTCGCATTCGCAAAAGCTCCGCATTGATTATTGCGAATGCGAAAGCGAATGCGAATGTTAAAATTAATGCGGAAGCTCCGCGGTTGCGAATGCGAATGCGGATATTCGCAACAACCCTGGTACAGACGCATGTGTACTCGTCCCTTTCCTTCTCACCCCCTCTCTTCAACATGCGAGCAGAATTGAATTCAATACTTGAACTGTGTAAAAGCAGTCTTAGTTGCGATCAGGTACGAGTCCGGACTAGTCATAAGTAGTCCGATTTTACTGGAAGTTACCAGTTTTAGTCCGAAGATCAGCTATAGTGTGTTTGGCAACCAAATTGTAAACAAAATANTGTAAAAGCAGTCTTAGTTGCGATCAGGTACGAGTCCGGACTAGTCATAAATAGTCCGATTTTACTGGAAGTTACCAGTTTTAGTCCGAAGATCAGCTATAGTGTGTTTGGCAACCAAATTGTAAACAAAATAAAGTGCACTGTGCTAATGCATGTTGAAAAGTATTTATGGGTCGATTACGGATAGCAATGCAACCACGGATCGGTTGCAAGCTGGCAGCGCAACTGGAAGGAAAATTTGTATTACGAATGACAACTATCGTCAGTTGCTATAGAGTTATCGATAATCGAAATTTGACAGTGCGACAATCAGCAAGCGGCTGTAAACAAGCTGTGCGAGTAAAATTAAATTATTACAATAAAGAGTTTAAAGAAAGCAATAAAGCTAAGTTCATCACAATTATTTGTTTAAGAGGAAGAGAAGTGCATGAACGCGGCCTCAATCAGGCGACATTTAAAGGATAAATCCAATCCTCTAGAGCTTCCGCGTGCACTGTAAGCAAAAGTTAATGCTTTCAAGGTTTTTCTCTTATTATCGCTTTGTGTTAATTTTCAAAGCATATTGAGGACTTCCAAAAGGAGCTGTAGTATAATGGGTTAATAAACAGATGAATCTCTTCGTTCAACTTCAATACCTCCGCTCATAAAAGCTTGCGCACCTCACAGCAATGCCTTCAATTTGGAAAACTTCGTGTGTCGGTAGTTTTAAAAGAGGTGCTTCAGTTGATAAAGGAAAAAATTTGCAATCAGTGTTCGCTTTTGGTTCGCCAAAAGGGCGTACTCCACGGGAACTAAAATTTCAAGTTATTGTTTTGTTATTTTCACCATATTCTGTAAAAGCAAACTGCATTGCAAAATGTTAATATCGTTGAAATTACTTTTCAGTTTCCGCTCCTAAATACGCTCCAAAAACGTTCCCAGCAACCAANAAGCGAATGCGAATGTTAAAATTAATGCGGAAGCTCCGCGGTTGCGAATGCGAATGCGGATATTCGCAACAACCCTGGTACAGACGCATGTGTACTCGTCCCTTTCCTTCTCACCCCCTCTCTTCAACATGCGAGCAGAATTGAATTCAATACTTGAACTGTGTAAAAGCAGTCTTAGTTGCGATCAGGTACGAGTCCGGACTAGTCATAAATAGTCCGATTTTACTGGAAGTTACCAGTTTTAGTCCGAAGATCAGCTATAGTGTGTTTGGCAACCAAATTGTAAACAAAATAAAGTGCACTGTGCTAATGCATGTTGAAAAGTATTTATGGGTCGATTACGGATAGCAATGCAACCACGGATCGGTTGCAAGCTGGCAGCGCAACTGGAAGGAAAATTTGTATTACGAATGACAACTATCGTCAGTTGCTATAGAGTTATCGATAATCGAAATTTGACAGTGCGACAATCAGCAAGCGGCTGTAAACAAGCTGTGCGAGTAAAATTAAATTATTACAATAAAGAGTTTAAAGAAAGCAATAAAGCTAAGTTCATCACAATTATTTGTTTAAGAGGAAGAGAAGTGCATGAACGCGGCCTCAATCAGGCGACATTTAAAGGATAAATCCAATCCTCTAGAGCTTCCGCGTGCACTGTAAGCAAAAGTTAATGCTTTCAAGGTTTTTCTCTTATTATCGCTTTGTGTTAATTTTCAAAGCATATTGAGGACTTCCAAAAGGAGCTGTAGTATAATGGGTTAATAAACAGATGAATCTCTTCGTTCAACTTCAATACCTCCGCTCATAAAAGCTTGCGCACCTCTTCGATTTTTCGCAAAATGAAGTGCCACAGCAATGCCTTCAATTTGGAAAACTTCGTGTGTCGGTAGTTTTAAAAGAGGTGCTTCAGTTGATAAAGGAAAAAATTTGCAATCAGTGTTCGCTTTTGGTTCGCCAAAAGGGCGTACTCCACGGGAACTAAAATTTCAAGTTATTGTTTTGTTATTTTCACCATATTCTGTAAAAGCAAACTGCATTGCAAAATGTTAATATCGTTGAAATTACTTTTCAGTTTCCGCTCCTAAATACGCTCCAAAAACGTTCCCAGCAACCAATAAAATGTAGTCGCCTGTATACACACTTTGTAGCAACTGCAGTTGTCAGTTGAAAGTTGCCAGTTGCTATCTGTAATATCGTTTTGGCAACTAGCCACGCAACTGATGTTCGATTGCTATCGATAATCGACCCACTAATTAGTTGTTTAAGTGGATTCTAATGAATTTAAAAGTATTTTTGGTTATTTATATGTGTGAGCTGAATGTGTTTATGTATAAAATAAGCAAAAATTTACAGCCAAAATTTGGAGGTTATGTTGAAGTTGACAGAAGTTAAAATTTTTTACTAGAAAGCGATCCCGTACTTTTCAGTGTTAATTTCTCGCTCTGAGCGAATTTTTATTTTTTGAGAGTTTTACTAGTTTTAGTCCGAGGAACACGGGAGTGCACCTATTTTTTAATAGAAAGCGATCCCGTACTTTTCAGTGTTAATTTCTCGCTCTGAGCGAATTTTTATTTTTTGAGAGTTTTACTAGTTTTAGTCCGAGGAACACGGGAGTGCACCTATTTTTTAATAGAAAGCGATCCCGTACTTTTCAGTGTTAATTTCTCGCTCTGAGCGAATTTTTATTTTTTGAGAGTTTTACTAGTTTTAGTCTGAGGAATACGGGATTGCACCTATATTGTGGCGAATAGTCACGATTGAGAGAAATAGAGATTGCACCCATGGCGGTACCGCTAATCCGCCCTTTGTGAATTTGACAGAATCAGCTGTGTGCGTGACGTCATCTTGGTGCAATTGTTGATTGAGGAAAACCAAATAATGACCCCAGTGGTATTTGGAAGCTTTCGGGGGATTAGGTGTGACTTTTGCAAAGTGTGTGTTCTCTTTCTAGTAGATTAGATATCAAGACCCACGCCCCCTCCAGCTCAGCCCACTAACCCAAAAAAAAGGGCAAATAACTAAACATTTCCAATTTAACTATTTGTGCGTTAATACTTCTGCGTAGTTTTACACAATTATTGAAACATTAGTGGTATTCATCTAAACCGATAACTTTATCAAGCAGATAATCTTATAAGTTTACGCACTCTGTTACATGAACGACCCACACTCTCTTTTCGTTTACACATGCGACAATAGTCGTGTTTTCTTTGGTTATAGAGCTCAGTATCACTAACTTTATACTCCTAGCACGGGGATAAAGAAATTATAGAAACTACTTAGCTAAATTGGAAAAAATTATATTTACGAGATAATATCTATTTAAATAAATATACATATAACATAAAGGCTATTTATTTGAAGCAAGTTAAAAGAAACAATGGCAGAATGTCTGTTTGTGTATGAATTCATTTGTCTCGGCTACCAAACTTTGCGGCCAAATTATCAGTGAAACAAAACAAACAGACAGGATAATAATTGAACCAGATCTCTATCACGATCATATCGTTGTTGTTGAATTTGCGTGCAAAATTTGTATGCGGATCCCGATTATTGCCCAAGAAAACATATAGTCTGTTCCTTTGAACTTCGGACTAAAACCTGCGGAACTGTCAAACTACAATTTTACTCTCTGAAGTGAGAGTAAAAGGAGAACAAATGTAGAAGTGCACGGGAACGCAACAAGCACTATTTCCTGTAAAAACGTCAGTCGGTTTGTTTACATGTCATTTGTGCAACACTGATTTGGCTGAAATATCACTAACTAATTATTAAAATCTATATATATTCACATGGGCGTAGCCAGAACGAAATTAAGGGGGGTGCCCATACAAAATAAAAAATTCAAAACCAATAACTTACTTATGTACTAAAATTTTTTTTATTATAGCTTAAAATTATTGTAACCAATAAAGGTAAATATGTTGTACAAAAAACAAATAAACAGAAGTTCACAAAAGTTGATATAAAACTATTCGTCGATTTAAATTGTTAACTTTTTACTGAGCATGTTTATTTTACGAGGAGGAAGCATCGAAAGCCTAACCCCTTCCGTGTGAGACTTTAACCCAAACTAAAATTCCTACCGTCATGTACCGTTCCCCTCCCGGTACCACCGTCAAGGATTTCGTCGGGATTATAACACTGTGTGACTGATAAGGTTATAGATCTATTCTCTTCCTCTTCTTCCTTTTTGGCGCTGTAACCGCCAAAGCGATTTTGACCAACTGACGCCTATTAGAAATGCCAAGTGAAGCCAGAATACTTTCAGAGCTGGGGCGTCGGTGTCCATTCGAACGACATGATCAAGCCAGTTGAGCCGCTGTATTTTAATACGCCACATACCAGCACGGGCATGATGAGTGATTTATAGTGTGGTTTTCGTACGTCGAGAGAGGACTTTACTCCTGAATTGCC